CGCAGCCCCTGAGGCTCTCCTCCCCGCAGCGTGTCCCTGGTGGAGCCAGGCCCGGTGAACACGGACTTCGAGCTGAAACTGATGGAGGACGTGTCCCGCTCCGAGTTCCCCGGCACCGACCCGGCCACGCTGCGCTACTTCCAGGAGGTGTATCTGCCGGCCTCCCGCGAGATCTTCTCCACCATGGGCCAGAGCCCCGAGGCCGTGGCCAAGGTGGGTTCCCCTCCCCCGGCCTGCGGCTCCCACGGACCTGGGGATCTCCCTGCCCGGGCCTGGCCTCCCGCGGCCGCCCAGGCTCCCTGGCCAGCCCCACGCCCACCTCCAGGCTGGCAGGCCCAGCCCCCCCCCCGCCCCCAATGTCTGGCACACCCAGCCCCAGCCTCCCACTGCTGGGCCTCGTCCCGCCTAGAGAATCAGATGACGCACCAAGTGCTGGGGAGGTGGGATCTCCTGGACAGACAGACGCAGGTCAAGGGGGACGAGTGGGGGACAGCTGGAGGGGATGGACGAGGAGGGCAGACAGACAGACAGAAAAGGGGTGTGAGGGGGGAGCAGGCGGATGGGGCAGTGCGTGGGCCTGGGCTGGAAAGGGTTAACCAGCGTCCTGAGGCTGGTGCCAGCGGTGGGGGCTGGTGAGAGGTGGGTTTGAAGGAGGACGTCCCACTGGGGAGCGAGGGGCCGGATCGCCCTGGGCGGGGGGCGTGAGCTGGCCCCTGTGGGGGGTGAAGCCCAGGACCCCTCAATCAAGTCCCCACAGGGGCAGGGAGCTTAGACCCCAGCTTTGGGGCTCCCTCCATTTCCCCAGCCAGCTCCAAACTAAAAAACTCTCCAGCAGCCTCCTCCCAGCCACGGCCACGGCTCCTCCCCCAGTCTTTGTCCAGTTCCCCGGGGAAAAGGTGTCACCTGGCCCCAGCCCCCTCCTGGGCTCAGGTATCGTCACCCTGGTATCCCATCACCAATGCCGACAGGCTCAATACAATTCCCCCGCAACATCCCCAGGTCAATCCGCCTGGAGCAGGGCGCACTCACCCCGGCGGCGCCTCCTGCTGGTCTTCTCGGGAATTAGCTCATCCAGCCGTTGGAGCGCCCGCTGCAGGCCGGTGTCCCTCCCGGACCCGGTGCCCTGTTATCTGGGGCGCTGCCCCTTGGCAGTAACCCCTCAGTCCCCCACCCACTATTCCCACCTCGCCTCAGTATATGTGACGGAGGGGGCAGATTTGACCTGGGAATGTTGCAGGGGAGTTACATTGGGGATGGGAGGGAAGTTACCTGACCCAGGAGGGGGGCTGGGAGAAGTGACACCTGCCCGGGAGACTGGACAAAGGAGAGGAGGAGCAGAGGGGAGGGGGGAGAGAGCTGCTGGAGGAGTTTTTAGTGTCAGTTTGGGCTGGGTGGTGCAAGGCAGGGAACCCCAAGCTGGGGTCTAAGCTCCTTGAACCCCCCAGAAGGACTTGACTGAGGGGTCCCGGTTGTACCTACATGCCCTGCTTGGGACTGTGTTCCTGTCGTCTAATAAACCTTCTGTGTTACTGGCTGGCTGAGAGTCCCGGGGAATCTCAGGAAGCCGGGGGTGCAGGGCCCTGACTCCCCCACGCTCCGTGACAGTATACGGCCACTGCCAGTCATCGTCTAGCCCTGCGCCCTGGGGCAGACTGCAGTATCAGCCTCCTCATCACTGGCAAGGAGGGTTTGGACCTGCTGCCTTGGCCTACCCCTGGGCTGCCCTCTGCAACCCCCAGCACCCCTTGGCCTTCTGCTAGGCCGCAGCCTGGGGCTTTCCCGGCTGGAGCTCCCCAGCCTGTCCCCAGCCCTGCTCCACTCAGGTCCCCTGTCTCTAGCTCCCTGCAGCCAGGCCCTTCTCCCTCTGAGCGCAGAGAGAGTCTAAGTCTTTGCTCCTGGCTCCCAGCCTTTATAGGGCCAGCTGGGCCCTGATTGGGGCGTGGCCCAGCTGCGGCTGCTTCCCCAATCAGCCTAGTAGCTTTTCCCCTGCCCCAGCCCTCTCCCAGGGCTGTCTTTAAACCCCTCTGGGCAGGAGCGGGGGACCACCCCACTACACCGCCCCACTCCCTGGTCCGTCACGCCGGGCTCGGGGCGGGGACGGCTCGTGGCAGCTGGGGGCAGCTGAGCCAGGCGGGTGGAAGAGTCGGTTGCAGGCTCTGCCGTGGCCTGGCCAGAGGCTCCCGAAGCTCCTACAGCCTGATTGAGCTAGAGAGACACTGGGGAAAGTGAGGCACCACTGCTGCAATACCACTTCCAGCCACTGGGGGGCAGGCGAGGGTGGGACATCTGCGGTCTGGGTGGGCAGGGGCGGATGGGGTGAGCGAGGGATGGACGGGACAGGCGGACGGGGCGAGCGAGCCGTGCGGACGGACGCACGGACGGACGGGACGCTGACCCCTCTCTCCCGGCAGGCCGTGGTGCAGGTGATCGGCGCGGGTCGCCCCCCCTTCCGCACACTGACCAACCCGCTGTACACGCCGCTGACGGCGCTGAAGTACGCCGACCCCTCAGGGGAGCTGTCCGTGCGCACCTACCACAACCTGCTCTTCAACTACGGCGCGCTCTTCCACCTCAGCATGCGGGCCCTGCGCTGCCTGACCTGCCAGTGCTTCCGCCGCAGGGTCGCCCCGGCCTGAGCCCGCCTCCCAAACCAGTCAGGACCCCGGGCATTGCCGGAGTGGAGAATCCCCCCGAACTCCGTCAGTGTTTCACCGGCGGCTTCCCTTCGCCGCTCACCCCGTGCCCTTTATTTCTAGCCTCAACGTCCAGCCACTCGACCGATGTCTGCTGGCCTGGGGAGCCGGTTATTAAATCTCTGCTCCCCGCGTAGGTACCTCCGGCCTGGGACCAGGTCCCCCTGGCCCCGTCTCTGCCCGACGTTAAATAGCGCTGAGCACGTGGAGTCTGTCCCTCCAAGGCAGGTTTCTAACCCTAGAATCCTTCCCGGGGCTCTTCTCTGAGCCCTCCGATTGCTTAGCTCCTCCTGGAGTGACGGGCCCCAGAACTGGGCCCAGGATCCCAGCAGCCGTCGCACCAGTGCCAAAGCCAAGGGGAAAACAGCCTCTCGGCTCCTCCCCGACATTCCCCTGGTCACGCACCCCGGGATCTCCTTAGCCCGTTTGTCCCCAGCGTCACACGGGCAGCTCGTGTTCAGCTGATTCTCCACCACGATTTTCAGAGTCCCTGCTCCCGGGATTGAGCCCCCCAGCCTGTAGGAACGGCCTGCATGCTGTGCTCCTAGACGTAGATGTTTCCATTGAGCTGCATTCAAACACAAGTCATTTTCTTGCACTTCACAAGCAGTCTGGATCGCTCTGGATCAGTGACCAATCCGGATCGCTGTGTATCAGTGACCAGTCCGCATCGCTCTGGATCAATGACCAATCCGGATCGCTGTGTATCAGTGACCGGTCCGCATCGCTCTGGATCAGTGACCGGTCCGGATCGCTATGGATCAGTGACCAATCCGGATCGCTGTGTATCAGTGACCGGTCCGCATCGCTGTGTATCAG